CCGGATCACCCGCAGGCTGCTCTCCACTCCTGGGGAGGACACAGAGGATTAGACCCCCCCAGACTGGAGGGATGTCCAGGTCGGCCATTTTGATTAGGTCACCAATAGGAAGATCCCAGGCAGGTTTAACCAAAAATATATATTTCTCACAATTATGAAGGCTGGAGGGTTAGGGTCAGGGTTAGGGTAGGTTTAGGGTTAGGATTAAGGGGTTAGGTTTAGGGTCAGGGTTAGGTTAAGGGGTTAGGTTTACGGTTAAGGGGTTAGGTTTAGGGTCAGGTTCAAGATTAGGATTAGGAATAGGGTTAGGGTTAGGACATTGCGTATCTTCTGATTTTGTACAGACAGCAAAGTTTTGTTTCCACCTCAGAAAGCTGCTAGTCACATGACCTAACCAAAATGGCCGACTTGGATGTGGGAGGAGTCTGATATCCAGCCAATGGGGGGTCAGGACTCACCCAGGATGTCCAGCACCTGGCTGTAGAGCCTGTAGGTCAGCAGAGGCTCAGGCAGCTCCCTCAGGAAGGTCTTCAGGATCACCGCGGCAACGTGGACATCCTGGTACTCCTCAAAGTCCACCGGCTTCCCTAAAGGGGGGGGGGGGCAGACATTAGCCCCTAGGACCAGATTGGAGGTTTAGGATTAAGGGGTTAGGTTTAGGGTTCGGACTTCGTTTGTCTTCTGATTTCGTACAGACAGCAAAGTTTCGTTTCCACCTCAGAAAGATGCAAGTCACATGACTTAATCAAAATGGCCGGCTTGGATGTGGGAGGAGTTGGACATCCAAACCCAGGAAGGGGGGGGCTCACCCAGGTTGTAGAGCTTCTGGACCTCCTGGATGACCTGGACCCGAGCAGAGCGCCGGAATATTCCCTCAGTCTGCAGCCCTGAGCACAGAGAGCCGTCAGGACTACATTACCCACAATCCCCGGCTCCAGAGCGTCCAGAGCCCCCACCTCTGAGCTGCAGGTAGGCCACCGTTTGGGCCATAACCGGCGGGATCAGGGCGCCCCGGTTCTTCTCCCTGATGCTGGAGGGGGAAAAGGGGGAGGAGTCAGCAGGACGCCGTCTAGGCCCCGCCCCCTCCCCCCCAGGCCCCGCCCCCCCCAAAGAGACACTCACTACTGCAGGCTGACCCCGAACTGCTGCGTGGGCAGGGGGGGGCGGGGGGGCGGCCTCCTCACGCTGGGGGGGGGGCCCCCCTTCTGGGCCGCCCGCAGCCTCTCGTCATGCCTGAAACACAGGGAGATGGAGGCGGAGCCTCAGGGGGAGGGGCGGGGCTTAAGGGGGACATGGTGTAGGCCTGGAGGAGGGGTGGGGCTTAACTGGACATGGTGGGGGCCTAGGAGGGGGGTGGGGCCGGGGGGGGGCGGGGCTTCATGGCTGGGGGGCGGGGCTTAACTGGACACGGGGCCTTGGAGGAGGGGCGGGGCCTCAACGGAAGGGGGGCGTGGCCTCAGAATGCCTTAAATGAGGAGACGGGGCCTAATGGAACAGGGCGGAACCTGAGAGGGCAGATTAGAGCGATGTTTCATATGAGGGGGCGTGGCCTCATGTGTGGAGGGCGGGGCCTACTGTCAGGGGGCGTGGTCTAAGGGGGCGTGGCCTCAGAACCCCCACCTGAGCACGGGCTCTGGGACGGACAGCTGCTGGTAGTTGAGGACCCCCTGCAGCTCCTCCAGGAAGTTCACGTACGT